TAGGAAAGGAGAGGAATTGTTTAGAGGTCATTGGAGTAGCTGGGAGTTAGGAGATGAAGCTGAACATCAGCTTGCTCATGACCAATTCAGATTCTCTTGAGTCACTGCTTCTATTGATGAATCCAAGCCTCCGAGGCTGAAGGACTGTATCAAGAAAAAAGGACATCCTCTTCTGGGAAAGGCTGACAACAGACAACAATGATGAGTGCTTTAGGCAGGGACTTGAGCCAACTTGCCCAGCAGATTATCACATCCTGACAAACTGTGCTCAAAGTAAAAAACCTCTACCAAGCTCTCTTCCTCTAAAGAGCCCCCACAGGGAAAGGGGACAGGGTGTGTTTGCAGCAGGGAACTTCTGTCTGGTTGTCATGGCAGTATACCTTGCTGGTCTCTAACACTTCCCTAAAGCAATATATGAAAAAAAGAAATCTTGTTAGCTGGCTAGTTACATTGATGAGGCCTAAATATGATTAGTAATTCAAACTCATTATATTTCTGTATGAAGTTGTTAGACTGGAGGTCACTTTTCACAGAAGAGAGATGATGTTAATCATTCTAGGAGCTGGTAATTCTTTATGTGTAGTTTGACGTGTACTAGCAATATCTCCTGAATTTTCTGTTATGGTCTCAAAGGTTGCATTTACTTCTGGTATCTTCTTTACTGCAAAGTTGCATTGATATAATTACATGGAAAGATGAATTTTTTCAGTGTTTTACTATCATTTAATATGGAGAATTTTTTATCACAGTCTTGAATTCGATTTGATTTAGTGATACAAAGTGAATAAATATGAGCTCTCTAAGCCTAATTTAATATGGGTTTCACTTGCACATGCAGAGTATTTCTGACTGTTTGAGGGAGAATAAAAAGTCAAAATGAAAACAGCCTTTAAGTGTTGTTTTATGTACTAAATATATCTCTTAAGGGGTCTACTTTGACCAGGCAGATTTGATGAATGCAACATGTGTAATGTTTCTTGATATTTCCGTATTTCAAGATACATCATATAATCATTGTATGCCATTGTATGTAGCCTATGACAACAGAGACACAACCCAAACGTGTTCCTTCAGCAGCAGCTTGACATGAAGTGCTTTTGAGAGAGACCCTCTGCCAAGGGAAAAATATGCTGAAGGTTCTCCAGCCTTTCACAAGAGAATATTCTTAAGGTGTGTGGTCCTAGAGAAACTGCAGCAACCTCAGCAGTTTGAGAAGAGGTATCACTGCAAATGGGCATAAAACCACAAACACAGTGTTTGGGACTCAAAGACGTGTTTTGAACTCATATTACTTGTACACAGTACAAGTTTGTTCCCTGATTTCAACACCAAAATGGGCTGCCACAGGGTTTGGAGCCCGCAGGGACATTTGAGTGGCTGTTGGGCCATACTGGCAATGCTTGCTGTGACAGTGACATGTTCAGCACCATGTCAGCTAATTTCTAAAGTATCAAACCAGAGTGCATGGGTTCAAAAACTGTTCCAGGACATAGGACACAGGATGGTGCTGTGCTTATACTGGGCAAAGGCTGAACAAAATGCTACCAGTAGGTGCAGAAGCCAAAGAGCACCCAGGGTGCCTCCTGCTGAGGGATCACTGATGATTTTTTTCCTATCATTACTGCTTTGTTCTTCCTAAATCAGTTTCAAGTTTCTTCACAGTCCTGCAGCTCTGAAAACTGTCCTTTCCCCTTCTCAAGTGTGGGATGGAAAAGACAGGGTGGGCACCAAGCAATCAGGAGACACACAGGATCTGGGGAGCACAACATTCCAACCAGTCAGGATCTTTTGGGAGCTGCTGCAGCAGCCAGAACCATATGGGAACCTGTCCTAGGAGCAAGAGTGCAGAGCCTGCATGTGCCTCAGAGGCAGCAGGGGAAGCCTGGCCAGGTGTGCCTCACTGAAATGAAGAGCCCTGCTGGGGCTGGAGAGCGTGCCCAAGAGATGTCACCTGCAGTCAGTGGCAGCAGATGGGACAGCACCTTGGCACATCCCTCGGCCTGTACTCCAAGCCATCTTGATCTCCACCTGTGGTCACCCCTTGGGTCATTCTGCCACCAATTGCATGGCATTTGTGCTGATATACAGCCTGTGTCTTCTGCCAGCCTGCAGCCCAGGGGACTCCAGGGGATCCCAGCACACCTTCTACCACTGTGCTGACAGTAACAAGGTACATCACTTGAATTTTGGACATGGCGTACAGATCGTTTGAAACAACGAAGGAGTATTTTCATCAGTTCTCTGAACAATAATAAACAGATTTATGCCTTTGTTTAACAATCAGTCATGCATGAGATGTAACAATTTCCAGTCCCTGTTTCTTGTCTATCTTCCTGTTTATAAAAAGTATTCAATAAAAAAAAAGTATTGCTCAAAGGAAGGATTTAATTGTAACTACCTTTTCATTGCCTCAGCTAGAGCGCATAAAACTGCATTTTACACTCTGATGTTGATCAAATTTTTGGGTACTAGTCCAGATACTTTGATAGTATTCCAAAGTAAGTGGGTGAGTATTAAAGAAATTAGTCTCGGTCTATAGTTTTATAGATCAGAGCAGGATTATTTCAATTTAAATAATTGCATAGTTGATATGGTTGCAAAAACTACATTCTCAAAAAACCCCCAGCTTTGTTCAAACAAGAATTTTATTTGACCCAATATGAGACATTTAATTTACTTTTGATGAGATAAGATGTTTTGAAAATAATTTTGCTGGCATTCAAAATGAGATTTTGAAAGAAAAATGCCGTTCCATTTTAATAGCACCAGAACAAAAAGATTTGACTTTTCTGATCTTCTTTCTCTAATCTCCATTTCTGTTCAAAATTATTCATTTAATTTTATCCCAATTCACAACTGGATTTAAAAACACAGATATGCCATCTGGCCAAATCCATGACAGATGTCTTTTTTACTTCAGTGTTCCATTATTATAGTGACAGGCCTTACACCATGCTATCAGGGAGAAGGAGAGAGGAAGGAAGTCTGTGAGAAATAGCGGATAATTTAATATCAGGCATTTTTCACAGTATCCCAGGCAATACAACTAAAGGCACACTAAATATAAAATCCCTACCAACTAGATCATAACAAATTCAGTGTTGTGGCTTACTGGCGTCTCCACACCAGAAATCTCTGTAGAAACTTAATTATTTAATCAAAAGTGGCAGAACAAGATAGTGCAATTTTTAACAAAGATGGAAGGCATTGCTGCCATAAAGAAAGTATTCATCCCCTAGATTTAGACCATGCCATACCCAGGGAAATAGAGTCATATTAAAGGTGAGGTGTTTGCGATTTGCAGCAGCAAGATTGCTAATTCTGCAGAGGATTTTCCTCTATTGAATTGCATGGGCTAACAGTTCATTCTGTGAGAATGCAAAATACATTACTCAATAATCATTTAAAACAGCACTTAATTTTAAATCTGAGATCTGGGTCTCCAAAGGAAAAGAAAACAAACAACTAAGTATGAAACTGCGGGATAGATCTACAATAAAATGAACAGATTTCCAAAATACTGGGAAGATCCTGTCATTTTTTAATGTCAACCGCATAATGCACATTGATGCTTCAAATCCAGGCTCATCACTGTGAGACACAGAAGTAACACCTTAACTTCAAACTCACGTTGCTTTGACAATCATCACCTTGTTTTGCATTGCAGTTACCACCTTTTTACAGATGTTGCTGAGAGACATTTGGCCAGAGGAGGGGAATAGCCAAACAATTTTGCTTTCTTGGATATTTGGAGGCTTTTTGGGCTGGTGGCCATAGGAACTGGATATTGCTGCTAAGTATTTAATAACAGACCAGGTTATATGTAGATATTTGCTCTCTGTTTGTGTGATTGGATGCACATCTTGCATTGATTAACACTGGGAGCAACACTGGGCAATGTTCACAGCTGGAGCCTGCATGTGCATAGCAGTGTGGTGAACTGGGGCCTCTCACAGGGCACTGGAGGACTGCCCTTCTGCAGGGAAAATGAGAGATATTTGTCCTTGGTGGAGAAAGGAGGCTTTTTACCCTGCTAAACCACAGACCTTTAATCCAGGATTTCTGTACAAGGCATGGAGAGCTGATTTCCACCTTACCTAGGTTCTCTTCCATCCTCATGGATGGTGTTGGTTCATCAGCAGGTGGGGCCTTTAAACACAGCACCCATGTTTCCTCCTGCAGTTAGGAGATATATTTTTTTGAAGGTGTGGCTAATTTATGGTGGTGTTGGTGCTTGCCTAATGCCATATATTTCTCCTCCTGAAGCCAGTACACACAGTTTTCTGTGCCATGTTTTCACCTGCCTTTAGTGCTGCCCTTTCCCAGCAGCTTTCCCATGCTGCTCAGATGCTGAGCCTGCTGCTACATCCCAGATCCTCCCATTTATCCCACTTGGGACTGTGGCTTGGGCCATTCTTGTGGGACACAGTGAGGTCTCTATTGCTAACACACATGCCTTGCACGAGGCACTTGGCTCGTGTATGTACAGACCAACAGGTGGCTTTCACTCCCTGTCACAAACTGGACATTCCTCAAGTCACTATCAAAAGCCATGGAGTGTGAGAAGGGCTGCTCTGTTTTACTGGGTTCTTCATGGCTGCTGTACTCCCACCCCAGTGCCTGTGTGCTAGGCTTGCCTGTGCTATGTCACACGACCAAACTTTGCCACATGCTAGTCAGCATCTTTCATCCTTCCCCTCAAGAGAAAAAGCAGTTGAGAGTGTGCGTGTTCATGCTTCTTCTGACAGCCCGTGGCTCAATATGCATGTTAGGTCAAAGGAGTGCACCTTCACAAAAAGCAGGAGAGAGGTGATGGGCTAAGGGAGGCTTTGTGAGTCTGTTCTGCCAGAGCTTGCTCCTGAGAAAGTTCTGTTTCACACAGAGACGTACAGAAAGTCAACTGTGCAAATGAAATGGTATTTACCAGAGCCCTCAGCTGGAGCCTGGGGTCCCTGAACCCAGGACCATACATATGACTTGACAGCCAGCACAGAGAGAAATTAATGTTCATGCTTGAGTTTATAGTAGCTCATGCTACTTGATAGCCAAAATTTCCAAGCAGCTGAAGACTTCATGCCCATATCCTGTGCTGCCACAGTGCAAATAGGAGACTTGACAGGTTCAGTCACCACTAGGTCAAGATTTGTCAAGTTGATGATTCCTTGCAGATAACAGGGTCACCATCTCATGGCTGAAGAGATAAAGAGGGAAAGTATGGGTATTTCCACATGAAAACATTGTGTGTAAAATTAACTAGAAAACTCCAAATGAAACTAAATTAACCCACAACCAGCATAAAATGTGTGGACTCCAAGAGAAGACTGAAGACTCTTATCTGACAACCTGTACATTCACATTCAGCTCTAGAAAGCCCTTTTCCTTGCCTGTGCTGATTTTGATCCAGATTGGGATCATCCTGCTGGTTATGATCCATATATGGCACTGGATTGGAAGGGCTTTCTGTAATCTACATGTTGTTGACTTTTGATTCATGCCTGCTAGGGCATTTCCCCAAGAGGAAGTATTTTGGTTAATTTCTACTGCAATGTCTTGAGGGGATTTTCCTTTCAGTGAGATCATCAGACCTCACAGCAAAACAGAGCCAAATATGTTTGGCATTTGGCTGAGACACACCGTGAAAACCGGTGAGTGAGAACGGGGTGAAGCTCTGGCAGTGAATCAGCAGTGGTGCTCTGTGCTGGGCCCATCAGTGAGTGAGCACACAGAGGATAATGGAACAGTTTAGTTTGGAATACACCCTTGAGATTGTTGAGCCCAGCTGTTAACCCAGCACTGCCCAGCCCAGCATTAAACCATGTCCCTAAGTGCCATGAATACACATCTTTTAAATACCTGCAATGGTGACTCCACCATTTCCCTGGGCACCCTGTGCCAGTGCTTGATAGTGCTTTCAGTGAAGACATTTTTCCTGATACCCAATCTCAGCCTTCCTGGCACACATAAATGTGCATAGGTGCTTAAATATATGCAAATGTGGACAACATAGGATCATGGAATTGTTAAGGCTAGAAAAGATCTAAATTATTTTTTTGCCTCTATAAAACCCTGTACTTACTGCCTCACAGTACTGCTGGAGGTGTGCTGGACACCTAGCAGTGAGCTGGCAGGAGCAACAAATGTACAGAAAGTTGGGTGATACTTGAAAAAGGTCTGGTTTCCCAGGTTATTATGGTCTTTAACCTCAGCCATTATATATTTTTGCCAAGTCCCAGAATATTTGTTTGAAATATCATCAAAAAACTCCTGACAGTTTGTGCATGATCAGACTGGGACTCTTTGGCATGTGTTGCCTGAGTGCATTGTTTCTTTGTCTGGTCTTTGATACCAGGCTTGGAATATGGCACTGGCAGAAGACAAGAAGACCTTAGTCTTGTCTCCATAAAAAGAGTTAGACAGACTAAGGAGTTAAAAGATAATGGAGCTTTTCTGTAACAGTCTTAGAATAGCAAAAACCGAGGTTATTTACTGTTCCCACACTCAGAGAAGTTTTAAATTGCTAGGTTAACTAGCCATTCCTGAAAGAAATTTTCTGTGCACCAATGTACTCTTTGTGGTTGAAGCAAAAAATTACTTACAGACAGAGCAATGTTTCTTGCAAAGAAAAAACTTCAGCCAATGGAATATTTTAAAATTCAGCTGTGAGGTCTGTTAGCTTCTTTCTGGCTGAGGGTTAATTTGATATATGCATTTTCTGCAGACAGATAAAAGAAACATCTCATTTGCTAAGTGACATTGTCATGGATATGTGATGTAAAGTAGAACATATTCAAAAACTACCCTTGGTTCTATTCCATTTACTGCTGATGGCACTGAGGTGTAGTGTAAGCACATTGCAAGCCAACTTCTGATGTCAATTACATCAGTGTAAACAAGATTAGAAATTGGCCCAAGCCTATGGGTTTAAACATGACTGTCTTGAACTTCATTTTCAGGACAGATAATGTTTTCAAGGAAAACAATGTTAATTTTAGCAGATTTTTCTCAGCACATTTTGGCAACAGTTCTAATGTATTCCCAGCACTTGGCTTTATGTTACTGTTCATTATATTGCCTGAGCAGCAGCACAAATCAGCCTGTCAGATGAGATACTTCAATGACCAAAATACAGGTTTGGAGGCTGGGGACCAATAAGGAGAGAAATGCAAACAACTGTCATTAGGCATGGATTTCATATTTTGTGAATGACATATTTTCCTCTGTGGTAGGTCTGTACCAGGTCTGCTGCTCTCCCATCTGCTATTCAACACTTAGGCTGCTTATTATTAGTTGCAGAAATGCATAACACATTTCAAACAGATCAGTGGTATCAGAAAACTTGCCATCATGCAGGAGCAGAAAAGTCCAACAAGATAAGAATGAATTTGTTTTCTCTGTCCACTGTAATCTTTTTGGATACTCTAAGGACAACATTTCTTTGACCTCTTGAGTAATTTACATACTTAGAGAAAAAGAAATACCATTTCTCCTACATATGAAATATCTTAATACAAACCTGAATATGTTCTAAGGAAAAATAATCAGGACAGCAAAAGTCTCAGACAACCTTTTAGCAACATTTTGTTCTTCCTTTTGAGACTTGGTGAGAGGCTTTAGTGATAGCCTTTAATAAAGGCGTTGTTGCTCCTATGAATGTTGCTGAGCTAACCCAAGATTCAGGCCAAAAATATGGACAAAAATGTTCTTTCCAGACAAGATGAAAATTTATAAAGAGCAATTTTCAAACAAAAAGGAGCAACCAATCTTTTCCTCACAGAAGGTAAAGGATCTTAAAAAATGACCAGCAGGCATCCAACCCAAGTCAACAAGCAAAAAACTAGCTAAGGAGCACAAGCATGCAGGTAAACATGTGAAAGATCTAGTCACTAATGAGAAACATTTACTCCCTCACTATCTGGATAGTGTGCAGATCCTCCATTCACTTTTTTTTTTTAAAGAAAAAAAGCATTTTCTGTGCTATAATTTACAACAGCTGGGAGCAGTTTGTGTGTGTGTACGTACATGTGTGCATGTGCTGGACAAAAGAACATTGCCAATTTGAAAAGGAAAAGGATGGGCACTGTTTTTGGAATTTGGCTCCAAAGGGGATATCTAATGATATGAGAAAGATTAAGCAGAGAAAGCTGGGGGATCTTCTAGACCCAAGACTGCTGCAACATGGGTGGGCTCAGCAGGGTCTGGGCACATCCTGTGTTACCAGTGATACAGTGACCCTGGTTCAGAGATTTCACAGCACTGTGGAGCAAGAGGGTGGGTACATTTGTTGCAAAGGTTTCTTTAGCCAAAATCATTCTGGGCTGATGCCTGGCCAGTGACTGATAGCTGGGTGCAGAAATTTCAATTTCTTATACATAAATATAATGAGGTATTTATAATTTTCCTGAAAGTTTTGGGGTTGAGATATTGGGGAAAACAAAGAAAGAGACACTTTGAGAGCTCTCTGAGCAGTAAATGGCTCCCTTTGGCATGCTCTGACAGGCCATTTCATTTTAGCTTTGCTGAATCAGCTTAATAGGGAGAACTCAAAACTCGTTGCCAAACTCTTATGGCAATTTCTCTTTACCACAGTGGTCACAAACAGATGTTGTTATACTCTGTATTGAGAACCAAATATTCCTTGGGGCAGGTTTGTGTAGGATGTACTACACAGAGTAATGCAGATTAAAATTAGGGAAAGGCTGAGAGTTAGGCATGTACACAGTGGACGTGAGCATTTGAGTTTGTCACATGGAACACACAGATTCTACCAAAAACTTCTGTGTGTGACATCAGCCAGTGTGACACCAAAGCACATCACTGCCTATGCTACATCAAATGCAGCTCTGGAGGGGCGGGGCAATGGTGATGGTTGTTTCTCATATTTTTATCTCATAAAATACTCTAAGTGGAAGCAGGATATACAAATTAACCATTTTCCTTCCACAAGGCTGCTGAAGCAGATTGACACAACCAGGCCATTTGTATAAATTATAAACTGGCTTCCATGGGAGGAGGTGCACTCAGCACTTCAAAGCCTAGCAGAATTAGCCTTCCAAAGAGGCATTGCCTGACTCCCATTCCTAGCCCCAGAAGAAGGCAGAGGTTATATTTAAGGACTTAGCATTGGTCTTTTGCTGCTGGATGTGATACTGATGCCCACAAATGTTCTCAGGGAACAGGGATTTATTATGGCAGTTCACATGGGAGAAAAGCACATTTTTAAGCATGTTATTTTGAATTGCATACAGGTAAGTCCTATTCAGTATTCAGAAGAGTATGTAATTATGCTATTATAAATATAATAATTCTTTTAATATCATCAAAAACTTCGCTTGCATTTCATGACAAAGTTGTTCATGGCTCACTATAAACAACGTAGGGCATCCTTCTACTCAATTCTTTACAATCAAGGCATTAGAGCAAGACTCAGCACAGAGACAGCCCAGTACTGAAGGACAGATTTCTAGTTTTCAGGTTCTGGGGTGGCTAAGCAAGGCTGAGCCTCGGTTGACTTTGCTGCACCCTGTGAAGTTCCCAGTTTGTCTGAGCAGAGGAAGATGGAAGGCAAAGCACACCCTGATCACAGGCCACCTCAGCTCTGCTGTGCAGACAGGCTATGTCAAGGATGGACAGGATCCTCCAAAATCTCTGGCATGTCCTCTTGTCCTCCCTGACCAGTAACTCCCCTCCCCTCCAATCAGACCCCCTTTGTCATTCATTTTGCCAGCTTTGTGTCAGTTGTACCTATGTCCAAAAGTGCCGTTTCCAGCAGAAAACCCATCATGTGGATCATGGGTTTTAATTAATATATCCGTACATACTTTATGCCTGAATGCATGCCCTAATTTATGAGTAACAACAAGGATGTATTCTCCAAAGAAAGTAATACTTGACTAAATTGTTCTCTTGACGTAAACCTATAATTTAAAAATTATATATATTTAGAGTGCAAGTCAAAACAGGAAGTTTTGCATTCCCAAAGCGGATAAAGATATTTCTGAACCTAAATATCTAGTGATACAAAATTGTCATGAAATGTCTCTCCCTTCCCTGCCTAACAAAACCACTCTTTACTAAATAAGCCTGCTATTTATGGGAGCACTTTTCTGTACAGGCAAGTTTGCTCGCACAGCCTCTTTAAATGGAGAGACTGGGGATTTTCACAATCACCATCTGTCCAAAGACGATTTTGCCACTGGAAAGTGCAAGCTTATCAACTGAAAGCAAAGTAAAACTGGCACTGGAAAACCATTTCTATAAGTTCAGATAAGAAGGAAGGTATCAGGGAAAATCAATTCAGAGCAGAATTGATTCAGAGCAGAAAGCACCCAGTGGGAGATATACTAAATGCAGAATTTTGCATCTTAGCTAACACTGAGATCTATCAACTCCATTCATCCACCATGGGGGCTAGCCAGTCTCTCCATCAGCTCTAAGCCATCTGGCACAACTGGTTTGGCTGCTGACAGATGTGGCAAGGATCAGGGCTGGGTGCTGTGATGCTACTGCAGGAGTGAATCTGAACATCAGGCGAGAAACATTAACAGCAAAATAAAACACGTCATAAACAGTGGGGAGGAAAAGAGATTAAACTGTGGCAGGGATCAGCCGATAGGGACACAGTTTGTATGCTGTCTGACTCCTTACTTCCACTCGGGGAGCCTTTGTGTAGTCAACCCTTCAGCAGGCAGGAATCATGCCTGCACAGATTGTGACACAGAGCTGCAGGAATCACTCCTCTCTTTCATCACAGAGTTGTCTGCCTGCAGCATTTGCCACGGAAGCAAAGTAGTCTGACTCTAAAAGCGTTTAGGAATTCACAAAGCAGCAAAATCTACATGGATGAATCTAGGTCTACACATGTAAGCACATATGTATATGCTACATGTTTTATTTATAAGTCAAGATTTTGCATAGGAACTGGTTGAACAGATGTCAAAGCAAGTCCTCACAAAACGTGTTCCAACAGAAAAGAGTCAGTCTGGCAGGAGAGCAACTAGAGACACTGGAATACCAGTTTTGCTAAAGACCTAAATCCCAATGTAGTTTCTAATTCACAATATTCAGATATTAATAGCTGAAGCAGTGACTCAGAAGAGACAGACATTTACTTCAGGAAATGTTTTGGGTATGTATCCTGGAGGGATCACCTTGCTGAGCTGTCTTATTTCCCAGACACATTTCTCCTTACAAAGACAAAGTAAGGGGGATGACCTGATCCAAGACCTGTCTTGGCAACTATTTACCATAACTTCAGCCATCAGACCTTGCTCTAGGCTAAAAGGATAGCATGACAATAAAATGACAAATCCTATAACAATACTGCCACTTCTGGTAAGCTGGTAAGTCATCCATAGGTGATCAAAAGGTGGGCTGTGCAATTCTACAGCAGTATGCTTTTCAAGTAATTTAATTTTATATGTAACCCTGCATCTATCAGGAAGGCCCCTGAAGCCATAGATTTTAGAGAATCTTTTGTAAATAATCATCTGGCTGTCAGAGTATGCACATGTCCATTTGCTCTCCAGAACACTGCTTTAAAAAGTACTAAGCATCCTCATCTCTTCAGAGCTGCAGAGAGGATCCCAAGAATGCCAAATGCCAAAATCTGCTCTGCAGTTTGACTGGACTTCGGTGAACCAGGTTTAGCCAAGTGTGCTGTACTTCTGTGGCCTTGGATACACCTTGAATAAAGGTGCCTTAGACCAACCTAATGCAATCTCCTCTTTCCTAGACACAGCCTCGTTAGTTCAATGAATGTTTAACCAAGACCATGCTAGTGCTATCACATTGCCTAATGAAAACACCACCAGCCCTCTCAGTCAATTTCTCCATGAAACAAAGCTTTGTGTTCATTATTTCCTCTCAATGTATGTTGTTGGAAGAATACATTGCATTTAAAGTTTCCTGCCTTCCTAATTAATGTGATTCATCCAATTGTACATAATAATTTTCATTATTTCATGTAAGTCAACAGTATTTTGCTAACAGAAGTTACAGCATGTCTTCAGCATGTACTAGAAAGTAACCAGAGGAATGCCAGAAAAATAACAGAAATTACTTCAGGCACTTTATTCAGTAGGTTTTCACTTAAAAAAAAAAAAAAACAACAAACTTACACCCTTTTCTGATGGTTTTACAGTACATTGCATAATAACCTATTATTATGTGATTTTTTTTTATCACACTCACCTAAGGCAGTATGAGCTCTTATAACTGAAATGAAATATTGAAACAGAATTTTCTACCAACTACACCATTATGAGTGATACTGATCTACAGCATCCTGCTCCTACTTTATTTATAGGGGACAATAATAAAATATTCCTACTAACTAGATTGTTTTATGTCATGGAACAGAAATGCCAAAATCAAGGTCAAGAGTATGTCAGTGGTTTAATTTCCCTAGTGCTAACCCACAGTAAAATTTCTCAGGATATAGTCTGCTGGTCTCCTGCAAGTCATTATGTATTTAATTTTCTCCCTGTAAAGTGCTTTTCTTGAATGCAAAGCCTGTGTATTCTAGAGGTAAATACATTAAGATAAAAGGTTCAAAGAGTCTTTTTCTAAAGACATCTTGTAATGTCTCGTAAGCTTCCTTATGAAATTCCAGTGCAAACCCCAACCATACTGCCTTCAAAAGAATTCCCAGTGCATTTTCTTTGTTTGCACAAAGGAAGGAAGGAAAATTAAAGGAGAGGGGGAGGGGGAAGCTGCGGTCAATGTTATGGCCCTGCAGATTGCCAGAGTCAGACACCCTGGATCCTAAGAGTGAAAAAGATTTAGCAGACAGGGCACTGCATGGGAATTTGCTTTTATCTACTTGCCTTGGCTTCCAAGGCCTTCAGAGCATCTCATCTCTCAGTTACCACTGCTGCCAACTCACCCAACACACAGCAAAGCCCAAGCACATTTTGTGCCAGCAAGTTCTTGTTTCCTGGGTAGTGAGGAACCCCCATTAGAAACAGCCCAAAGCTAACTAACCTCTCTCAAATCACGCCTCTACAGCACAACTCCCCTAAAATTACACTGCTGAGCTGCCATTACTGGCTGACGTGCCTCCCAAACCTGTCCCACTGGTTTCTCTTACCACCTCCCAATCCCCTTCTTTTATCCACCCATTATTCTGTTTAATAGCATGGGCTGCTTGGGGCAGGGACTGCCTGCACTGTGCTTGCACACCTCCTAAAGCCCTGGGATGGGGTGTTCCAAACTGCCAGTGCCTGAGATGTTCTAATAAGTAATAATATAATCAGGCACAGGAGGAAGTCTCTCTTCTCTGCATTACAGAAAGTGGTAGGAAAGATGACGTAGATAAAACATTCTGCAGCAACCATCTTAATATGCAGTTTGACTTTATTTTGTCTCTCTTCCAACTCCACCACAGAATTTTTGCCAGACTGCAGGCAGCTCTGCTGCACAAAAGCAAACCCACAGCCCACTCCAGTAGGCCTGATGTCTCTGCAGAGCCCAGTAAAGGGATAAAATAATCCTTGCTACACTTAAGGTCACTCTTAGATTGGCTGTTGTGCTCCTGGTGGGTGACTCCCATTTCAGGAAGGTTGTGCTCCCCCTCCAGCACCACTGGGTTCAGAGTTTCTGCTGAGGGCTGTCCCTTGCCTATGATGCAAACATTCCTCTGAAGCCCTGCCCAAACATGCACCTGGGAGCTCAGATGAGTCCCAGTCTTTATGGTGCAGTTCTCTCTGCTGTGACTGAGCACTGGGGAACATGGCTTACCTGCATTCAGATTTCATCTCAAGAAAATAAGTTTTACAAATTCACAGTCTGCCTCTGTGCATGACAAACAGAGTCTCCAGTGGAAAGCAAGAGCTCAGAAAATCATAGCCAAGATTTTTGGGAAGTCCAAAATTCAGAAAAATTCCTGAAAGAAAACATGTTAAGCTTGCTAATATTTGTGCTGTTTGCTTGGCCATGTCATGCTGGCCCAAACCAGCTCAAAATGGACCCAAAAGAGTTTGTTCTCTAAAAGAGAGGCAAGGCATGCTGGGGGTAGAAAGGGTGGTAATCAAGTGCTCTGTACAGAACTTGGGAACATGGGTGCTGCGCCTCTGCCTTTCTAGTGCTCCCAGCAAGGGAAGGAAAAGCGGCTTGCATTACCTAGGCTGAGTGTAACTAGGTGATTTGTGCCTTTTTTCATGGTCATTTAAATACATTTTTCATTGTGTAAACACAGATACAGTAGCAGGAAGAGAAAATTATATGAGACTGCATCATATCATAGAATTATAGGATGGTTTGGGTTGGAAGGGACCTTTAAATGTCATCTACTACAATCCCCTGGCAATATAAGTAAAGACATCTGACCTAAAGGTGATGATAAGATCTGACCTATGTCAGAGCCTTACCAAGGGACTGAAATAAACTGGGAATTAGCTACAGAGGACATTCAGGAGGATGAGCACATGAAGCTGTGGATTCTTTGAGGGAATGTAAATGGGAATGAGCAGTGTAAAATCAGAGTGTACACACACAGAAGTCCACAATGGAGACCAAGTCCTCCTCTGAATATACACGATCCAACCACGGTGCATTACACCCGCTCTGGTGGGGACAAGTCAGGCAGGGAGGGCAACACTTCCCAGTACAGGAGCAGTACAGGAAACTTTCTCCTCACAGTGGGTCACAGTGGACCCTGCAGTTTAAAACAGGCTGAGATAACTCCTCACTGCCTTTTGGGTTGCAAAAAGGCTGTGGTTTTGTGCTTGCTTCTCCTGCATCCGACAACTGGTTGTCAAATTATCTCAGCCGCTAACTCATTTGCACACAGGTGACGCTCTACAGATCACCAGCAGCACATGGAGGACATCCAGATGCACCTCCATCAGCCACAACTGTATTTATTGGGCTACCAGTCTCTCCTTGTCACTGAAAGACAGCTAAGATTTGAACATTTATGTGCTCCAGACTGTGAGAAAATGAATCCAAAGAGACCTTTGTTTTACCTGCAGGTATACTGCCCTGTGCTGTGATCTTGTCAGATCTTGTCAAGTCATCAGCATCAGGGTAATCTTGGATGATAAAAGCCAGAGAAGACCTCACTGCTGAGGGAGGCTGTGCCTGTAAAATCATGAAAATGGGAACAATGAGGCACCAGCATCCTTTTTAAACTAATTTTACAAAACACTTTACAGAATCTTTTAACAGAATCTTTCAACACAATGACTAGGTTGGAAGAGACCTTCAAGATCATCAAGTCCAACACATGCCCTAACACCACAACTAGACCATGGCACCAAGTGCCACATCCAGGCTTTTTTTAAACCCATCCAGGGATGGTGACTCCAGGCACACAATTCCAGTACTTTATTATTCTTTCCTTGAAAAACCTTTTCCTAATATCCAACCTATATTTCCCTTGGCGCAGCTTGAGACTGTGTCATCTCATTCTGCCAGTTGCTGCCTGCAGTTATTAACAGCATATTATGGAGAACAGCATATTGTGAAGAATTCCAATTCTAAGATCCTACAGAAAAGAAATAGTAATGACTTAGGGCTGGACTGAGCTAATCCTCTTCATAAAAGCTGCTGGGTAGCCAGGCTTTTTGGCTTTTTGTTTGTTTTTTGTTTTTCTTTTCTCACTCTTTACTACTCTAACTTTAAAAGGTGATAGTGTCCATTGCACTGTACAGTCTGCAGTTGTTTTCTGGAACAGATTTTGGGATGCCTTTCTTAACATGGATATACACCTGGATGACTCTTGGTCTTTGCAATGGTTTCCCAATGCTGTGCAGCCACCCCTGGAGCTGTGGCTCCAGACCTCCTACAAAGAAACCCAGGGAGAAGAAATCAGGGAGGAGGTGTTCCAGGGTGCTTTGGTTTTTTTTTCAAAGTTAGAGGATGTAGGCAGTAGCAATGAAAAGGTAAGACACAGAAACACTCTCTAGGTGTCAAGAAGTCTCTGTCACCAGCCGGCAAAACCTTGTCTAGTCCCAGGAATCTTGATGGGAATTGAAATGGGAATGTCTGTCCTGCTTGGTGCATCTTAAAATGCATTGGCTAGCCCTTGTGCCAGGACCTGAAGTGAAATTAAAACAATTCTTGCTAAGAAACATGATCTTGTAAGTGCCCCATTACAGTGATGCCACAACAAAAATTGCTGTGTAACTCCAGGTCTTTCAAGGCTTGGAAATACAGCTAAAAAGCCTTGGTTTTGGTTTTATAAATTTTGAGTCCTAGTGGCAATACAGCAGACAGAAAATGTAACCCTCTGCAGCAACCACAGCTCAGTGAATATGTCCCTGTACCCAAGGAGAAGGTGGCAGGTTTGACAGCATAAGAAAATCTTAGCTCTGGCACCTTATTCTGAGCTCTGCCAAGGTGAGCTGGCTACACAGGTGTTAAGGAATATATTTAAAACAAGCTAGTGTGTGAAGAGAAGACAGTCACCTCCACAGAAAAATTATTTACCACCTTTGTGGAAAGGCAGATATACCTCTAGAAGTCATGGCTGGCTGAAGCAAAGAGAGTATCATCTCCCAAACTTCTTTCAAGGTGAAGTTAAAAAATAAAATAAAATCAAATCAACATAGATCTATAAAGTAATAGCCTCTGTGTGTGATGACCAGTCACATCTACTCACAGAAAGACCTGACAGGATCCAACAGTCCTTGTTATACAAAGAGGAGGAAATCCAAGTCATCTCACTCAGCTCAGTCAATCTCCACTAACTGAGAGAATAAAGGCCAAAACCCTGAGCACTGAGTTACTCAAGATTCCAGATGCTTTAAATATCCAGGTTGGTTATAAAATTACCATGATCTTTTCATATTGAATCCTAACAGGCATTTTCTCAAGCTTGAATGTTTGGAATTCAGTAAGTTAGGGTTAATTACAGAGTAATAGACAAGGAAAAAAATTCGATAATGGGAAAGACACAGAAGGGAATGAAATCCTGAAACTTCAAGTCCTGGGTCTACTTCTGGAAAATCTTGTTAAAAAGCCCTGGTGCCTTGGACATCCAGGAGAAACCACCCTCAAGGTGAACACTGGACAGCCATCTCTGTTTTCAGCCTGTGCCCTGTGACCATGAAAGAAAGAACTCTGAAGGGGTGGAGACCTGTGCAAGAAGTGACAAATAAAAAAGCCTAAGGAAGAGAGTATGTAAATGGAGCACAGAGTTCACTCCCAAAAAGAAAGACAAAAAATGGTGTTCATGTTTTACTCAGGACAGGGCAATGGAGGTGAGCGAGTGGGTGGTGGCCAAAGAAAGCACAAAACTGGTAGGATGATGTTTTACATATATTGTCCAAAGCTGGAGGTCATTTTGCAGATAGTGCCTAAAGAAAGCATCTTATTCACATTTGTTGTGGATCCAGGGAGAAATGGGAGAAACAGTACTCATGGCATTATCCATAGAAACTGGGCAGAAGTTTCCCAGAATGCTGGAAGTGTTAGTGTTTATAAGATATCCATGTAAGATTTCACCCAAAACCTATTCCAACTGCAAGGTCTTGGAAAATTAAAAAATTATTTTGTTCATGCCTGGTTAAGTTAGCTGTCATTAAAATTAGTGGTTGGTGCTATGCAGCAAGTTAGTTCCCGATTTTTCTGAGCATAAAACCTGAGTGACGGATCAGATGCTGATGTAGGCTGCAGAAACACAGCAGCAGGCATCTGCTCCAGAAGGTTTTTCTGCAATGTTCCTAAAGCTGGTTGAAATATACTGAGCTTGCCAATATAAAAATACTGAATGTTGCTGACTCTTCTCCAGCACTCCATGGTGTTTCTCCCATATCCCTGCTGCACCATGCAGGGCTGGCAGTTTATTTCCTCCCTGCTGTAGGGGAGCCACAGACCCCCCTCAAGTGAAGCAAGTTTCACATACAGTCAGTTTGCACAAGTAATTACAGCAGGTTTGTTGCTCAAGAATACAAACAGCCCACATCTTTCATGATTGTGCAAGAAACTTCGCTCAGAATAAAGCCCAAGATTCAGAAGGCTGGGGATTTTTTAAGTGTAAGCTGAAATAAAAGTTTCCATGGCTATTTTTGATTTCTAAACCAGCCTTTCTGTTTGTAAACACCCAGGCAGCAGAGAGGTTGTCCTCCCTCCCCTCTCCCACGCAGAACCATCTTGCTACTTTACCTCACCCTCTCCAAGCTGCCTGCTGGCTCTGGAAACTGCCTGGGAATGAGACAACAAAGGCTGTGTGGACAGTAGCTAAAAATGCCTGGAAAAGCAGTCCTTGGTGGGCAGATGAGCAGACACTGTCTGTTTCCCCTGTCTGTACAGAGGGAACCCTTGTGCTCAGAAAGGAAAGACGAGCTACAACACACCATGCTAACTGTTCCCAGGGTTTCAGTCCCATTTTTCAGTTAAGACCAAGGATTTTCCATGTTACTTAGTGCTAAATCTTTGGGGTTTGTGGCTGGTCAGAGAGCCAAGTATCAGCTAATCAACCAAGACATCTTTAAAAATGGCTACATATAGATGAATTTTAGGTGTTGAGATTTCACCTTTGAACTTTCTTTTACTAAAGTTATTATAACTGTGCCAGACAGGAACTCTGCTGGTGCTGGCTTTGGGCAGTGTGTGTAGTTTCATGGGCTGGGCAGTGCTGCTGACTCCATGACTTTGCTCAAACCCTCTCTTGGCCCTTGCAGCTGGGCTGTGCATGCACAGGTACTCCATGTCAGCCTGGGAGAGCAGCGTGGCTCCACCTGCTTTTGTCAGGATAAGGCACCTCTTGAAACAAGCTGGAAGTCCTCTCTTTTCCCTTTTAAATTTTCTTTCCTTTTTTACCCTTGCATTTTGCTCTGTGGCTTGCACATCAAATGAGAGGAGTATGTCATTGATGACACAGTGGTGAGTACATATGCTGAGGGGAGTCCAGTTCTGCTCCTTGCTCCCATTTACCCAACTGGTCATGCCCAGGCTCCGCCAGACTTCAGCCTCTGTTGCTCTTTAGGGGAAGCTGCACAGAAAGGACAGAGGGATGCTGGGGGCTTTCTCTCAGGCACAGAACCACTGGACATCGCCAGCAGGAAGGTCCTGTTTCAGAACATTCCCCTTTCCCCCTGAGGCAATTGATGGATATAGGTTCTCATGGGTCACTGCTGCATCTCAGCTCCAGACATCCTTTCTTTTGCATCCCTCACCTTTCCTGGTCAGGAACTTCTGAGTTAAATGAGAAAGATTGTTTCTCATTGGACCTATAGAGTTCAGTTTGGGGAGGGGAGGGGAGGTGGTAACAAGAGCAACAGCCTCCATCTATAGGATAAGAGCGAGAAAAAAGAAGTAGTTGAATCCCACATACAGAGATAAACGCATTAAATTTTTGTCTAGAAAAGAGAATTTCAGAGACCTTCAAAGACTAAGCATTCAAATGAGCTGAATTTCTGAAACAGCATGGCATCAGATTTTTTCCTTAAGTACCTGGCATCAAAGCTCAAGCACAGAGTAGACAGCTGAGGCTTGCAGGTAACCCTGAGCATCCCCAGGTGAACTTGCTCTGTAGCACTGGTTCTGTGTATTTACAACTGCAGCAACAAGGACTGCTTCAGCAGGCTTGTATGGGCTGAAAATTCAATATGAGAACTCAGAGTGTGGAAGTGCTGACAGGATAAAGGTATCCTCACAGTGTTTGAACCCCGTCCAAAGCTAACATAAGTGAAAACCTCTGGAGAAGCTGTTCTTGTTGAACTGCAAGTTGCCTTTTTTCCCCTATTTAAATAAGCCAAAGTAGTTAAATTGAGATGATAAGAATCTGAACTTTATCAGTGAATTCTACCTTTCAAAAATAGTTATTCAAATTCTTACTTCATCAGGCTTTAGGAGGTAACACATTTAAAAAAATAAAACATGGAAAAAAATCCATTTGAAGGTGCTGGCTTCATCTGCATGGCAATGAAATGTTCTCAGGAAAGGCGTTTACTTTTAATTAACCATAAAGCAAATGCAAACCACCATAGGCCACATTTGAGAAAATTCTTCAGTTCAAAGTGAGGAAAAGGCTTTTGTTAAATGAAATTATAAGTGAATACCATTAAATACGTGTCAACACAACCATTAGAGCAATCTATCTGTCCACCAGCATAAAGAAAGCATAAAGTCAC